TAAACTAATGAATCGGTGCTTTTCTTTTTACATAACAGAACTTCGTCACTCGTGTCGAGCGGAGCCTGAGCTGCTTCCATGCTGCTGAGTTGACAATAGCCTCTGACTTCCACTGGCCGCATGCGCAGTGGAAGAGTGTGGGCGGGGTGCAGGTGTGTGTGAGTGAGAGAGAGAGAGCCTGATGAGGATAGACTCTCGTCTTGTCCTTTAACTTTATACCGCGGTATAAACGGTATTGTGTAATTCTACACCGCGTTTAAAATTATATCGATATAAGTTAATCTATCGATATACCGCCCAGCCTTAGGAAGGACTCAAAGGGAGGACCCGGTATATCTAAACGCATAATGAACTTTATTGCACTGAATATCAAGATGCACAGATTTAGGTTACTTGTAGGATGGTTGACTGTTGGAGAGGGACCAGTTCAAGGGGGACTGGAAGGATCAACTGCTCAGACGCTCACGGAGAATGTGTTGTTGCCAGGGAATAGGCTGAAGGCTGTGACAGAGCAGAGGTGCATGCGACTGGCTGCTGAGGAGACGACCAAGTATAGAAGACTGGGCTAGATGTTGGCCTGAGCTGTGGAGCAGGAGCATAGCTGATCCCATGGGTCAGTGGGCTAATCTCCAACACGGGTGCGGAGCTGACTTGGACAGGAAGGGCAGAGCAGGTGAGTGCAGCTGAAAAGAGGCAGGACCCACACTGGCTGGAGCAGGAGTAGACGGGGAGGCTGGAGTGGGTAGCTGGAGTCACTGGTGTGGCATCGGCTGGCACAGTTAACTGGCGCCACTGGGGATGAGCTTGATTGGAGTAACTCACTCAGCATAGAAAGTGCACACAGGGAAGTTGAGTAGCTCTGGACAGAAGACGACCCAGGTAGCATCAAGGAATAAGCCGGTGAGGGAAGAAAACACAGTGAGGCTGCTGGCTTCGGAACGAGGAAAAAATCTTCTTGAGTTCAGCCGTGTAAACGTTGCGGTGACAACTAATTGACTGGCAAGTGTGACACAGCTGAGACCAGGCTATATACTAGCCAAGCAGATGGAGCAACTGACTTCACCTGTGCTACTACTTGCCAGCCCCACCTAGTCGCTCACCTGAATACATTATTAGAGGGAGCAGGTGAAGTCATTACAAACCTTCTATTCCTGTTACAATCACCTCTTCAACAGCAGGAGAATTTTCTACTTGCTTTAAAAATTCTGGTCTGTATCTGATGGGGGATGTGTCCTCCTACATGTATCCTGAGGAAGTATTAAGTCTTTTAACCTCCACCTGTCAGGATATACTGGATTCCATTGCTCCCCTTCGATGTAGACTGACTAAGCCGAAGGTGGAACCTTGGTTAAATGACTTAACTCAGGAACACAGATGAAGATCTTGTAAAGCTGAATGTAAATGGAAGAAGGATAAACTTTATGTTTCCCTTTGCCATTTCAGGGACTGCTTGTCTGACTATCAGAAGGTGGTAAACTCTGCAAAATCGAACTATCTCTTTACAATGTGGTCAATAATCGTCACAAACCTCAGGTTTTGTTCACTACAATTAATTCTGTCATTAGCCCATGTAACCTTACCTCTCATCCTGAGGCATCTGTTGAAATATGAGAGTTTTCTTCATTATTTTACTAACAAAATTGCTAGCATTAGGCAATTCTCCAGTATCACTTCTTTTGACCCAGCTGACCTTCCCCTGCCTTCTGCTATTTTTGACCAATTTGAGACTTTTTCTTTGCCTGTGTTAACAGAAGTGGTTTTACACATGAAAACATCTCACTGTACTCTGGATTTCCTGCCAACAAGGTCATTCAGGGATGTTTTTGAGTCTATAGGTCCTAGCTTTCTGGCCCTAATTAATTTATGCTTGACTACAGGCTCAGTTCCAGATGCTTTTAAAAAAGCAATTGTCCAGCCACTTCTTAAAAAGCCAAATCTTGATCCTTCAGTGTTTTCTAATTTTAGACCAGTGTCTAAATGATCTTTTATGTCGAATGTTTTAGAGAAGATTGTTCTTATTCAACTCCATTCTTTTCTGGCAGATAACGGCATTGAGGAGCAATTTCAATCTGGTTTAAACCAAAACACAGTACTGAGTTAGCATTATTAAACATTTATAATGGCATTTTGTTGGCCAGGGATGCTGAGGATTTAGTTCTGCTGGTGCTTTTAGACCTCTCTACTGCCTTCAATACAGTGGATCATGGAATCCTCATATCTCGCTTGGAGTAGTGTGTAGGAATTCGTGGTACTGTTCTTAATTGGTTTAGATCTTACCTCACAAATAGGAGTTTTTCTGTTAATATTGGTAACTTGGTAACTGTTCCTCCTTTTCAACTATCCTCCCCTGTGGTGACCCCCAAGGGTCTGTACTCGACCCAACTCTCTTTTCCTTGTACATGCATCCGCTGGGATCAGTTATAAGGAAATATGGCTTCTCCTTTTATTGTTATGCAGATGACATCCAGATATACTGTATTTACCATTAAAAGCAGCTGGAGGGATGT